GGTTTATTCATAAGTCTTTGAAAAAAAATCATTTTTGTTGATCACTTCTCCTTGAAGTTTAACTTGCATTGAAATTCTACTTTGCCATAGGCTATCATATGGGGGACATCAGTGTCTTTCACATTTTTCAGATTTGGCTACATAGTTACATGTATGTGAAATAATTCAAGATTGATCTGCATGTGGATAAAGATATAATTTTAAAAATTCAAAACATGCAAAATTCAATTTGTGTTGAACGCATGGTGAGCAATATAAGAAATCTTCATGCGCATGCGCACTTTTAACCGGATGTATTCAATTTTCCATAAAAATGAACATTGACATTTGTCTACGCAATTTCACAAATTATACATGTTAAAATAATAATAATACACTTGAATATACATGTAAACAAATAATTCAAAATATATGTTCCGGTCTAATCCCTCATGGTTTTTGCTGGAGGGCAAATGTTCGGGTATTCACCGAGTGTTATTTTTATGAAAAGCTGTATAAAGTCGCGAATTAAATACGAAGACATCAAAAAACCAACCTCATCTCGTAGGAATCTTCTTCTGTGCAAGTTGTCTCGTTGAATAGCAGTGTGAAATCGCAGAATGAATGCAAATGCAGAAGCAAAAGCTATGACGGATGTTGACAGGTGAACCTTCAAAATCAGTCTGACGTAAGCAGGTTCGCGTCACGTGATCAATGTTTCGGAATCCCCTGACATCGACAATTTACGGGGAGTGTATAGAAATACGTGTTAATAGCAATAACCTGAGAATTTTCTTTCAACTTCTCTGACATATATTAAAACCAGGGGTATAGCTAGGGTACTTTTGAAATGGACGCCCGAGGAGGCATGAGGTTTGGGAAAGCCGTGGTGTGGACCCAGCTATAAGTGAATTTCCGATATTTTCGACCTTCTTGATCGCTTTCTGCGAAAATCTATACTGATTTCAGGGATGTGTACTTGAATAATATTACACTATCGCATCCTCCCCAAATGTTTCTTGTGGTGATTAATTTTCATTTATATTTTATTTACATGAAATCTCTCTCTCTCTCTCTCTCCAATATGATATGGACCTTTGTGAGTACAATTTTTAAAAATAAAAATTAGTATTAAATAAAAATTCTGTAAGTCAAAATTGTAGAATTACGATTGATGGAACTGAAGCTGTCGGAAACTTTACCATGGCCACATTCCTGTCATCAACATAGACCACGGCCAAAATGTACGACCCTCTCACATTCTGGGAGAGAGCTATGTGCGGACTTCGAACCGTGGCTTGAGACGATGCATCCCTGTAGACCTTTAAGACAAGGATTCAGGGATATAAAAGGCTCTTAAAGGAAGCAGGACATGTTTTACCATTTATAGATTGTAAACCAGTGACGTAGTTCAGCGTTTTTCTGTGTGGGTGAGGGGCACTCACTCTCTGCCCGAAATAAAAAATCAACTTACCCGAAAAAAAAGAAAATTGTCCAAACTTGAACATCTTATTTCGTAAAAGGGGAAAGGCGTCAGTTTGTTTTAAGGACATACGCAAGTTACCTTACCTGCTGATAATTTTTCAAGATATTCTAAATTTAAACTTATAATACCATTACATGTTCTTAGACAAAAAATCAGCATGCGTTACCAGGGGTTTTGAAAAGATATCAAATTATGAAATTATTTGCATTATTCAAAGAAAAATGTACAAAAATTACAAAACATAAAACAAAATATTAGTAATGCGCAACGCTTGTGTAAATGCACGAATGAATGAATGGATGAATGAATGAAATTCCTGAAATGAAATAAATAGCATTAATTAAAATAAAATAAAACTAAGTACAACTACCACAAAATTACAAAACATAAATTCCAGATTTTTTTTAATCAAAATTTGTTTGAGAAGAGGTGTACAAACCCATATATAGACACTAACAGTATTGCACACAGGTCCTTCATTTAGTGGAACTCTTCAACTCCAGGGAACCCATTAAAGTGAAAACTACGTTGCGTATAACCTTAACTTGATTAGAATTGTCTGTTGGATTGCGTTATATTCACATTAAGTGAGTTTATTGCATATAGAGAAGACTATATAGGGTTGGGAGGTGGATAAAGTATACAGATTGGATAAAGATTGTGTCTAAAATTAGGGAGTGAAAGGTAGTTGATTGATCAATGCTAGAAAGTGGAGAAATTTTCCCCAAACGTGTGCAAAAAAATCTTGTGCCGTAAATTGCACATTTTTGTATTACGGGATCGATCTGTAGCGTTATGGTCAAAGACTAATACATATGTACTTGAAACCATAACGCTACAGTTCTGCAGCTAGCGTGTAGGGTCCTGATTGATCTTTTTTCAGCCTCTGGTTAAAGCCATCAACAGGTAGGCCCCTTCCAACTACATTTATCACCCGACGCCGACTCTGGAGGACCTCGGACCCCCCCCCCCCCCCCCGATCACCCAGAGACGACAACACAAGAGTCGACAAACTCTGTCGCACCGACTCACAAGATCGACAAACTTTGTCACAAAATCTCAAAGATCGACAAACTCTGTCACACCAGCTCAACGATCGACAAACTTTGTCGCACCGGCTCAACGATCGAAAAACTCTGCAAAAAGTCCAAAGATCGACAAACTCTGTCGCACAATCCCAAAGATCGACAAACTCTGTCCCACTAGCTCAAAGATCGACAAACTCTGTCACACAACCTCAAAGATCGACAAACTCTGTCACACAATTTCAAAGATTGACAAACTCTGTCACACCTGCTCAAGGGACAATATGGGCACTAGCAAGAGATTCAGCGCAGGCTTTTGCAGTAAATGAGCAGTCAAGCCAAACTGTCACTGTGGTCAAAGATGTGTCTAAAAAATCCTGGACTACTTCCGTCTAACACTGTTAGTTCGTTAATAGTTTTTGTAAGCTCGCCTGAGCTGAAAGTTCAAATAAGCTTTTCTGATCACATTTTTTTTTGTAGTCCGTCTGTAAACTTTTTTTTTTTTTTTTTTTTTACATTTTTTTAGCTCGAAGGCTCAAGTGAGCTTTTCTGATCAAATTTTGTCCGTTGTCTGTCGTCGTTGTCGTCGTTGTAAACTTTTCACATTTTCATCTTCTTTTCATCCAAACTTTTGCACAAAGTATCCGTGGGTGAAGGGGAGTCAGCTTTGTTCAAATGAAGGGCCAAGCCCTTATTCAAGGGGAAATAATTAAGAAATAGTGAAAATTTGGTGGTATGTTTTAAAAATCTTTTTCTCAAGAACCACTGTGCCAGGAAAGTTGAAACTTATAGAGAAACATCCTCAGGTAGTGTAGATTCAAGTTTGTTCAATTAAATCATGACCCCCAGGGGTAGGGCAGGGAAACTTTGATCGATCAAAGTTTTACATAGAAATATATAGGAAAATTCTTTTAAAAAACTTCTTCTCAAGAACCACTTTGCCAGGAAAGATGAAACTTATATGGAAGCACCCTCAGGTAGTATAGATTTAAGTTTGTTCAAATCATGACCCCTAGGGGTAGGACAGGGCCACAATGGCCGATCAACGTTTTACATAGAAATATATAGGAAAATTCTTTGAAAGTCTTCTTCTCAAGAACCACTGTGCCAGGAAAGATGAAACTTACAGGGAAGCATTTTCAGGTAGTGTAGATTCGAGTTTACTCAAATCATGACCCCCGGGGGTAGGGCGGGGCCACAATGGACGATCAAAATTTTACATAGAAATACATAGGAATTTTTTTTAAAATCTCCTTCTCAAGAACCACTTTGCCAGGAAAGTTGAAACTTATAGAGAAACATCCTCAGGTAGTGTAGATTCAAGTTTGTTCAAATCATGACCCCCTGGGGTCACAATGGACGATCAAAATTTTACATAGAAATATATAGGAAAATTCTTTTCAAATCTTCTTCTCAAGAACCACTGTGCCAGGAAAGATGAAACTTATAGGGAAGCATCTTCAGGTAGTGTGGATCCAGGTTTATTCAAATCATGACCTCCTGGGGTAGGGCGGGCCACAATGGCCGATCAACGTTTTACATAAAAATATAGGAATTTTTTTTAAAAATCTTCTTCTCTGGAATAGTAAAGGCATGAATGACATATTTTGATAGAAGCATCCTCAGATAGTGGAGATTCAAGTTTGTTCAAATCATGACCCCTGGGGGTAGGGCGGGGCCGCAACATGGAAGCCAGATTTACATAGAAACATGTAGAAAAAATCTTTAAAATTCTCAATCTTTTCAAAAATAGCGAAGCCGTGATTAGTCCTGTTCATATGGAAGCATTCTCAGGTTGTGTAGATTCAATTTTGTTCAAGTCATGACCCCTGGGGGTATAGGGCGGGGCCACAATGTAAGTTCAAATGTAAAGGGCAAAATGTAAAGTCAAAGAAATATGCAAGCATCCTTAGTTAGTGTAAATTCAAATTTGTTCAAATCATGACCCCCGGGGGTAGGGCGGGTCCACAAGGGACAATCAAAGTTTTATATGAAATATATAGGAAAAATCTTTCAAAATCTTCTTCTAAAGAATAGCAAAGCCATGATTGGCCATATTTATATGAAAGATTCAAGTTTGTTTTTAAATCATAACCCCCTAAGGGTAGGGTGGTCCCACAATGGCCAATCAAAGTTTTACATAGATATATACGAGGGTTGTCCCGTAAAATCGTGGACAAGTTGTCTAGTATGAAAAATAAACATCACTGCGTTCTGAAATTTTCACTATTATTTAGTACATATTTTAGTAATATACACAGCAAATTTCAGATAAATATATGCATAAATAAACAAATTATGAGATTTTATGGCATGTATTGTATCACCTTACGGCGCATGGATTATAACGTCAAAGTGTCTAAAACAGCGTCACGTTTTATCTTTGCTGAAAATGAAGTTGGATGAGTCCGACTTAAATTTAGGAATTTCATTGATACACATTCTTTAGTCTCCATAAACAGCCGAAGAACCAATTGGCATCCTCATGCGATCTTCTGAAGATTTATTAGTAAGTTACGGACAATATTCTCACCATCATTCAACTAATAGAAAATCTCATATCGGCGGTCTACTGTGACAGCGTCTTTTGCTATTAAATAAGGAGTTTGTCCGTATGTTTTGTACTCCCCAGGGACTCGATCAAAAAGACTTCGCTAAGAAAACTCCTATTTTATTTGTATACTTAAGATATGGTGATATTTTTATAATCTTTTTTTCTTCTATGGTCATTTCAAGTCTCTAAAGGTGTCATTACAACATCGAAATAAAACTGAACTGTTCTCCGGTGCGCCGTAACGTCATAAAACGTCACCATTTTTCGTGTGTTGTGTTTACCACTTTCCCATTTCGAATGCTCGAGAAACTGCCAAAAATTAACCAAATGCCTTAAAATTTTTACAAAGACTACACAATTGATTGTGGAATTGAATTAGCATAATTTTAATCCAAATCTTATGTATTTAAAACTTTTATTTTGATTTCAAACTTTTGTATTTTTTAATAAAATCTTGGTTTTTTGACCGTGCGCCGTAGGACAATACCCCGTGCACATTCAAGCATAATAAAATCTTTATTTTTGCATAATTTTATCAAAAAAATTATCATATACTTAAATATGATAAATAAACAATTACTGAAATTTTCAGCTTAGTGCGCCCATTACTTTTCGAGAAAAACGCTTTGTCCACGATTTTACGGGACAACCCTCGTATATGATCGAAAATCCTTAAAAAATCTTTTTTTTTTCAAGGAAAACAAAGGCATAAATGATCATATTTATTTTGAAACATCCTCGGGTAGGGAAGATTTAAGTTTCTTCAAATCATGACCCCCAGGGGTAGGGTGGGACCACAATGACTGGTCAAAGTTTAACATAGAAATATAAAGGAAAAATCTTTTTCTTCAAATTCATTGGACCAGGAAAGATGAAACTCATGTGGAAGCATCCTAAGGCAGTGTAGATTCAAGTTTATTCAAATCATGACCCCCAAGGATAGGGAGGGGCCACAATGCTGATCAAAGTTTTACATAGAAATACATATAGGAAAAATCTTTTAAAAATCTTCAAGATCAGCAACGCTATGATTGGTGATATTTATATGGAAACATCCTCAGTTAATTCAAGTTTATTCATATCATGACCCCTGGGGGGTAAGGTAGGACCATAATGGGCAAATGATAGAAATATATAGGAAAAATCTTTAAGGGGAGACAGGGAACATGTCACATGACTAAAAAGACATATTACGTCATAATCGGTTATGATATACATGTTAAACGTTGTTATTGTGTAATTTTATTCTAAATTCTAAAATTGTTTTTTAAACATTTAATTTTAGAAATTATTATTCATAAAATTTTTAAAGATCTTGCTATCATTTAGATATTGTGAAGTTGCCAAATCTTTACATTTGTTTCTCTTAACCCTGCAGTCTGACGTCAGTGACGTCATAGACGTAGTTTTTTAATTCTCAGTGCAGCTAGATCAAGTACATGTACACACACCCGTCATGATCAGTTTTATTTCATAATAAACAGGTCGATCACAATCAATGTATCGTGATAAATTCTGAAGCAGATTTTTTTAAATTAATATTTTTTTCGTGTTTAGTTACAGATATTCTCTCTATTTAGATAATTTTGAATATTTATGTTTTCTCGTGATGTCACATTAATTAATTTCCCGCACTCGGAAAATACAAACGTGAAGCGTTTTTTTTTTTTTCCATGCTTATGTCTAATTCACCGATGTCCCGTGCGATATTGAGGTAAGCTGAACACCCTGTGATATTTATGCAGTAAATAATTACGATGACGGACTGACATTAAATCGTAAATTTAGAAATATTTATTGACAGAATTTTTTTCAAAATGAGGTTTTTGTCGTTGAAGCTGCCTTGAAAAATGCAAAAATTATCCCACCCAAATACTATATAAAATCAAAGTACTGAAAGTACCGTTAGACGGAGGCTTCATGGATGAGAGAACACAAAAGAAATATATTTGTCATACATAGCTGTATATATATAGAATATTAAGAGGAATAATGTGTATTTTCTTTTCAATTCAACATTTTTTAAAATGATACTCCAATATTCATGAGGTTGTTGGGATATTATATAATTTCATCTTTGTAATGTAAACTTCACCTTGATTAAAGTTCACTGTTATTTAGATCAAATACTTTCAATATTAAACACTTCAACGTAAGAAACAGTAATTGACTAGGCCTGGTTGACATAAAACTTTGACGGGATCACTTTTTATCTCAGTCTCACTTAAGGAATATATAGTGGAAAAGTGAGACTGAGATCAAAAGTGAGCTTGTCTAAGTTTTATGCCCCCAGGCCCGGTTTGATGAATGTAGGTCTAGTATGTTCTAGTCATAAGCCCACTGGCGGATTTGGAAGGGGCCCCAGGCCCCCTCCCTTTTGAGTCCCAAAAATACACAATATTTGATAAAAGAATGTTTTAATTGTGGTTGTGGGCCCCTCCCCTGACCTCAAACTGGTTCCCCTTTTTCAGAATTTCTGGATTCAGCACTAGGCCTCAGCCAGTCAGGAGTTTCCATATTTCCAGATATCTTATTTATAGGTCACAGAGACCTACTGTTAACATAATTATGACATGTAACAGCTACCAAAATCAAAATTTCTCGGCCTTATTGTAATAATTTTATGATATGAGCCAACAAGGAAAAAGAACAAGCCAGATAATTGGACATGAACAACATAATATAGTACAGTTTGTCTTAAACCTTTGTGATACAAAATGGGGTGATCTAGCTTGAAAGCAACACAGAATACAACTTCAATAACATGCAATAAATATTCGTGCCAGAACACAATTTTTTGAGTGGAATAAAATATTATGCTTTCTTACTTTATGTAAACAGAACAATAAAATTCATGAGACTTGCTATTTCACAAGTTTTTGTTTTTGGAGAACTAAAGTATTGCTTACAATAACAAAGATATATCTTGACAAATTTGACAACTAATATTTCTGGAAGTATTAAATGTAGTATTTTATCATATAACAGATTTAACCCAAAAAATGTCTTTTTTTACTCGTATACCAGTGGAAATGGTTGTCCTTTTCAGTTTATCTGTTTAAAACAATCATTAACAATGAGACATGATTACAAATTATGTAGAGAAAAAGTTATAAATATATAACTATGATTTCTGCTTTTCAGTAACTCTGTTAAAACAATCACTTTACCAATGATGTAGGGTAAAAGAATTGACACGAATACCAATGATAAGAAATACATGTAATCTTGTATATAAAAAAAAATTATTAAAGTTTGAGATGTGAAAGAGGTAAAACACAAGTATCAAATGCAAATAAGGATAAACGAAATGACAATAAGACAACTTATTTCAGAAGATATAATTTTTAATTATTAATCAGGATATAATGTGATAAATCATGTAAATCCTATGAACCAAGATTTGGGTTGTAACCAAGGGGCAAACGTAACAGATGCATATTGATCTCAATATCAGAGTTGCCGTTTGTTTCTCTCTTATCTTATGTGAGGGTACGCCAAACACTCAAACCGCTTGTAGAAAGTGTAAATTTATTTTCATGTGTTTCCTAAAATTATACATATCAAATAAACAATTCAAAACTAGACTGTAAATACTCCTAAAGATAAAAATACTATGCATTTGTTTATTCATCGATCCTTGTCAGATTACAAACCTCACAAGAAACCTATTGATGCAAGCGTCAAAAATCGACCGCAAACCAATTTATCGGTCCTTTCAAGAAGAAATTAGAAAAGGAATGAAAAATGAGATTACAACCAGCAATCAAGCACAAAAGATTCCATTAAAACTGAAATGCTTGATCTATCATTAAAATATCTTAAATTTATCCCTGTGACATAAAATATTTGCATGCAACATTGCAGGATTTTCTTCAGTACAAAATACAGGTACATTGCATAGTCATCTGCGTCTCCGCACTTAGTTTGATACAGGCGAATTCTGGTGGAAGTTTTTACAATTAAATATAAAACTAAAGTTTAAACTTTACCCCCCCCAACTCCCTCTAGATCCGCCACTACATTTCTTCTCGTTCTTGTTTTGGTGTGAGAATCGGTGGGAAAAGGCTCGGCATATTGTAAAACGCGCTTTATCATCGTCTGTTGGAACAAAATCTCCTAATATTCTGTCTGATTAAAAAAATAACATTAAATCACATTTTTTTTACAGATTCCGTAGGAAATGTAATTATATACACGTCATTTTAAATATATTCGACAAATTCTGTTTATTTAGAAAAAGTAGAACTGTTTGTTTATACTTGTATGTGACGCGATCTTTGCTTTAGACTATGCCTATCCTGGCGGCCGAACTCAGAGTCGCTCTAAAAATACAATTCCCAAGGTAATGAAAACAATTCCACCGATAGATGGTGCCTGGTGAATCCTCATTATTTACGTCATGGGCAAGACAATCCCAATACCCGGAGGCTGTCATACAGCCTCCGTCTAATTAAAACAATTGCTTTCCGATAATTTAAACACTATGAATATTCTGAAATATTTGAGTATATAGTGTTATCTATCATATTTATCGTTTGGGCGTAAAAAATCGCATTATGGACTTTTCGCTGAAAAAATTCCTATCGATGAATTTTTTTCGTATTTTTTATATTACTAATTTAATATGTACTTAACATTTTAAAACGGTCCTGTCATGGGATTTCTTGACTTACTTAAAAGATATCGACCCACAAATACCGCCCTGTTTAGAGTTTGTATGGAGTTTAGATACTTCATGTTTACGGGCCCATAACAGAGCCCATAATGCGAATTTAGAATATTCATAGTGTTTACATTATCTGAAAGCAATTGTTTTAATTTTATATAGTATTTGGGTGGGATAATTTCTACATTTTTCAAGGCAGCTTCAACGACAAAAACCTCATTTGGAAAAAATTCTGTCAATAAATATTTCTAAATTTATGATTGAATGTCAGTCCTTCATAGTAATTATTTACTGTAAATATCACAGGGTGAAGCTTACCTCAATATCGCACGGGACATCGTTGAATTAGACGTAAGCATGATAAAAACGCTTCACGTTTGTATTTTCCGAGTGCGAGAAATCAATTGTGACGTCACACAAAAACATAAACATTCAAAATTATCTAAATAGAGAGAATGTCTGCTACTAAACACGAAAAAGTATTCATTTAAAAAAATCTGCTCAGAAATTTATCACCATACATTGACTGTGACCTGTTTCTTATGAAATAAAACTGATCATGACGGGTGTGTGTACTTGATCTCGCTGCACTGAGAATTCAAACACTACGTCTATGACGTCACAGACTGCAGGGTAAAGAGAAACAGGTGTGTGGATTGGGCAACTTCACAATATCTACATAATGGCAAGATCTTTAAAAATTTTATTAATTATAATTTCTAAAATTAAATGTTTAAAAAACAATTTTACAATTTTGAATAAAATTACACAAGAACTGTTGATTTTAACAACGTTTAATATGTACATCATCACCGATTATGACGTAATATGTCTTTATAGTCATGTGACATGTTCTTTTTCCTGTAAAAATACTGTTGCCAATCTTGTGATACCTACTTCTATTTCAAAAATTTAAAGATTGTTCCTTTTCCATAAAAACATAATACTATATCGGGTCTATAGCATGATATTACCCAATTTACATAAATAA